TATCTATCTATCTATCTATCTATCTATCTATCTATCTATCTATCTATACTGTATAGAAATAAACAAGATACATCTATCTACAGTGTGTAATTGGTGTGTAATAATATACATATATATATATATATATATATGTATGTATAAATATGTGTGTGTGTGTGTGTGTGTGTGCGTGCGTGTATGTGTGTGCGATGGTAATGTTATTTATATATTACTTCAATTATCATCAATCTGTGTACATGTGCTTAATTATAGGTTTTAAAACATTTTAATCACAATTTATTAAACCATTTTTTAGCATCTTTTTGTTTCCAACTTCACTTTCTACTGTTTTTTTAGTTTAACTGAAACAGAAAAAAGGATGTCAAAGTCCAAATCTATAAAAAGTTTAACTGACTGAATATCTCACTACTGTATTCACGGTTGAATTGTTAACATGAATTGATAATATAATTGACAGGGTTTCGTGAGTTACCACAGGACTTTTTCATTCGTTTGTTTGAATACTGTGAAACACTCGGAACTGGAAATGTGTCACAATGGCACCGCAGAGTGAGGCCCGTCGCAGGTTACTGTCAATTTACTCTGCTTCAAATTTGCTGCAGCTGCAAGTTTACGGCAGACATGTCTATATACAGACTGAGCCTAGAGGCTATAGGCTAATCACTGTGAATGGGACTGACAACGACCGGGCTTAGTATTCTGGAAGCACACATTCAGCAGAAAAAAAATCGGTTCAGTGGACATCGTTTAGCTCCAGTATGTGCTGCCGCTGTAGGGGGAACTTTTCTGACAAGTTTGCAGTTTAAAGCCTGGGCGGTTAACAAGGATGCACGCGGGGGGAAGTTTCTATTGTAGTCGGTCTGCTGGTGTCCTGAACATTCGCTTCCATTTATGTCCTTTTATTTTTTTAGTCATTTCCTAACATGTCTGTGCGTGGGGAAAGGGGTTGTCTCTGTCCACGGCACACTGGTGTTGTTTTCAGAGCCGAAAGATTCTGGAGGTTTTGGTACAGATTACATTATGTTCTTTCTTCTTTAAATGCAAAAAGCTGGCGTAATAAATCATTGTGTTGATGAAGACTTAGGGGTTGTTGATGCACTGCGTTGTGGCACGTATGACAATAAATGTTGCTTTGACCGGCAAATTGGAACAGAAAAAAATCAAGCTTGACTTGTTGCAGCAGACAAACTGGTGACCCATCTTGGGTAAAGCTCCAGCCCCCGCCCTGTCACTCTGATCCTTACCACAGCTCCACCATCTTTTGATGGATGTGACAAAATGAAGAAGTTGCCACAAAGCTGTTTTTGCCCCTTCTGATCACATGATTTCTTTGGAAAAACCCATGTGGTTACTTTTTCCTGGCACAGACGTCTGTGGAAAAAAAAAGATTTCCAATCAGTGATTGGCCACTGGTCCAACAGGACCTTCATGTACAGGCATTTGATGCTTAATTTGAACACGTTTACATGTGTTTCTTTTTGTTTTTCCAGTCTTACCTGCTGCTAATCGACCAATTCAAGCTCGGTTGTATCATTTGATTTGACTTCTGAAGACCCATCAGCGCGTCCTGGAGGATCTGAGCTTCAACTCAGTCTTCTCTCTCATCCTCTTCAGGCCACGGATCCAGACTGCATCAATACTTTGATAAACAGCCACAATAAGGCCGGAAACGTGCGTCGACGTTTTTAAAAATAAAAGCTACCATTTTCACGATGAATTAAAAATAGAATCCCTCTCAAGAAAGACGTAAAAACAGAGTCTTCCGGTTATCGTGTGCTATTTTGCCACCGTCTGTCTTTTGCAATAGGCTGGAGTCATTTTACGCATCTTCCCTTTGCCATTTCCGATCATTCTTCTTAACCCAGATTCTTATTTTGACGTTATTTCGCGGCGTTTCCTCCTCGCGCCAGAGAAATTGACGCTCCACGGAGGCAACCCATGATTGCAGACTCAACACGCATCCTCACACCACTGACCTGGGCTTAGCGGTGTCCTGTGTGTGTGTGCGTGTGTGCGTGTGTGAGCGGGAGTGTGAGTGATTCCCAGAAACGAGCAGCAGGATGGAGGATCTCAAGGAGAATGTGGGAACTTTGGATTGACGCCTGGGGATAACGCGCTGGTCGGCCTGAGCCTCATCGGGCTTCTCGTGGATTTTCTACATTTGGATGTTGTCCGTTTTCCCCTTTCATGTTTTTCGCAGGCAGCGGGGATTTACGCTCGGCTTAAAACCTCTCGATTGTTTTTCGTTTCCTTTTTGTGGGCGAGCGAAAAAATGCCATTCGCCAAAAGGATTGTGGAGCCGCCGCTTCTGTGCAGACACCCGATCCCCAACGATGAGGGTCTGCTGTTCGAGGACCTGTGTGCCATCAGCAATGTGGTCCTCTCCCGGACCCTGCGACAGCTGTCCGACCTGGCCCGGCATGCCTGCTCCTTATTCCAGGAGCTGGAGAACGACATCCTAACCACCAACCAGCGGGTCTGGATCCTCCAGAACAAAATAGGCCTGATTCAGCAGACTTCCAGTGCCCTAGACCCCAAAAAGGAGGCAGTGCGTAAGTAGACTACCACAAGTGTTCAGCGCTATGGAGATGGGGATTAAAAAAAAAAATCTAAATCATAGTGGGAATAATATCCCAACATGCGTCCGAAACACGCGTGGCATTAGTCATTCACATCACATCACATGTGTGCCTTCATGATTCGAAGGGCGCTCACTTCGACATCAATTTTTACCCAGCTGCACGCACGCGGCCACGGTCTCAACCCCCCTCTCTCCTATTAAAATGTGTCACACGCGTGCGTTTGCGCATCTGCACATGAATTAAGGTATAGAAGCGTTTTCACAGTGGGGAAAAAATTGGGTTGGCTGCTCATCTGTTTGGCGGTCCAGACTCCTGCGTGCGTTTGTGTATATGTGTGTGTCGGTCGTCGACGATCAGGGAGAGTCGGTGTGTTGTGTGTGTGTGTGTGTGTGTGTGTGTTTGCTCACAGGCAGGCGGGCAGGAGCGCGAGCGGAGCGGCGCGGAGGGGCGTGTGTTGCCGCTGCATTGGCTCAGCATCACTGCGGGTAGCGCACACCTGAAGCATGTTCAGCCGGAGCTCTCCAGCGCGCAGAGGTCGCCTCTTTCCGATATCGGCATCGAAAAAACAAAAGCTTGGCGTGGGATGTATCTTAAAATGATTTTTGGTTGTTTTTTTTTTTTTTAAAGAAACGTGTCTGTCTGAGACAGAGGAGAGAGATTGGGGTTTTTCAAAGGCGACTCCCCGTGCGCCAAACCCACCCTTTCCACATAACAGCGGCACCGACATAGCATCAGTAATGAATCCAGGTGTCCATGTTGCAGGGTACATACGAACCGAACATCATCGGTTCTGGACAGATGTTATAAAAAATAAAAAATAAACATCCATGCAGGATGGCTAAGACTCTGCAACAAAGCATTGTGTTGGCAGCTTTGTATTTATGTTCTCTGCAGAGCTCTCCTTGTAAGTTTTTTTTATTTAATTTAAGACGACCTCAGTGGTGATTTTAGCACAGTTCCGAGTTTCCAAGTCAATGTTGCAGGCCTGCTTAATAAACTGGGGCTGAACGGTGAGCATTTTGAGGCCTCGATCGTTTGTGGGCTCGTAAACATTTCTCTTTTCGGATGACACGTACGAGCATATGTGTCAGAGAGGCGGCCATGTCTTTATTACATAAAACAAGCCACACGGAATCAACTCTGTTTAATCTTCACTCAGATCTGGATGAATGAAGGCTCTGATGTTGAAGCAAACAAGGGGTCTTTTGCAATTAAATGGTGTGATAATTTATTCCAGCCCTCCTACAGTACAAAGGTTTTTTTCCTGGCAAACAAGCACACAGTCTAAATTCTTCCTAAACCTGTGTGTCTGCCGCACTTGTTGCTTTGAGAAAGTCCTATCTTACTGATTTGGCCAGTGGAATGTGTTTCTTTATACCTGCATAGAGGGAGGAAAGGCAAAACAGAAATAAATGATCAGCTGCCTACTCAAAACACACACCAATGTCTGAGTGTCCTGAAACTCCATGAAGGGTTCAAAATGTTATTTCCAACCAATGATATAAAACAATGAATGGGTAAGCAGTTGATTTTAGATGTTGTTGCATTAAGTTGCAGTTTGGAGACGTTTTTTTTCTGCTTTGTGTTGCTGTGAGTGGCATCTGAATCTGCTCTCCATCCTTTTTCATAAGTTCAAACATTGTTTTTCAGCCATAAACATTAAGAGTCCATCAAATATACCTCAGACAAAACTCCTCTGCTAGAATGTGGCAAAAGCCATACTAAGTCTGTCACATCCTGGGGGGGGGGGGGGGGCAGTCTAAGTGTGCCATTATTTGGACCGTGGTACCTGGTGTGGTCACAACCTCAATTCATCTGACTTTTCTTCAAAAGGTGCCCATGAATAATGTGTGTCTGCTGTTATATTCGAAGAACATACGACATCTAACATTTGCAAAAGCCACTGCCTATGAATGGTAAAACTGGTGCTCTTGGGGGTGACGATCGCACTGCTATTAGAGTGTCTATTAGCTTTCATGTGGTGAAAAACAGTTGCCATGTGGTGTTAATGAAGTGAAAAAGTAGTTGTCATATGTTGGTCTTGGTTTTCATTCACACAAAGATGCATGGTTCAAAGTGTGGATATAAATACACCTTGAATCCCAGTGTTCCCACCATGTGACTCCTCAAACTTGAGGTTTTGAAATTGCACCTCTTCTAATTTGCAATGTTCATATTGGTGGTTGTACTACAAAGGAAAATGTTTTGGCTCTGTGATTGAGTTCTAGCGCATTGGATGAGCAAAGTTTCCCTCCTTTTATTCAGACTTCAGCCTTATTACTAGACTCCCTCTTTCCATCTAAGGGCAGCCTGTAGCCTGTCGGAGCTCAGGCTCTGTTTGCAAACAGACACAGATTCGGTGACAATAGGAGTTTCCCCACCTGACCGCGGAGTATCTCAAGATTCAGGGCGGTCAATATGGTGCCGGCGGACTGACGCCGGAAAAAGGCAGCAGGCGGCGTTCAGATGGTGCTCGCAGTGTTTGTGCTTGTCACACTCTTGAAAACAATGTGTTGTGTGGGACATTTCTCCAAACAGTCTGCTCTGGTAGCACGAGCAATGTTAGCTTTTCCGTTCATACTCTGTGTCCATACACACCAGAGCAGTTTTTTAAGCTTGTTTGGTGACTTTCATTATGACATTTCATGCACCCTGCGTGGTTATTTTTTTAGGTTCCAAACAGCACAATTGCTGATGTACGTCATATTTGTCAGTGTTGATGTGCGCACAGCTATTTTGTGTTGGCTTCTGTAACTCAGTAAAAAAAAAAACAATGCACCGGACCGCAGAATAGAGAAAAGGCATAAACAGGAAACCAGTGATACAGAGGGACATCATAGAATACAGCTGGACCAAATGGCTTCCAGCTGATGACTGTTTTCATGCTGATTGTCAGGACGTCAGAAAGCTTTCTGAGTTGTCACCCGGCCATCCGAGACTGGGAGCTTTTTATTCCACAATATATCTGTCGCCACAGAGTTAAGTTTAACTCATAATGCTGATTTTTTTCCAAATCCTGACCATGTCTGAATCCTGAAGCCGGTCCGAGCTGACACTGGGCAGGAGGAAGGGTACACCCATGACACACATCACAGGGCTACACAGAGACAAACAACCACCCACACACTCACTCCTATGATCAATTTAGTCTCCAGTTAACCTAATATGCATGTTTTTTGGACTGTGGAAGGAAGTCAGAGCACTTGAAGTGAACCCAATCTCTGGGGAAACTTGCAAACGGCACAGAGAAAGGTTCCCTTTCACCCAGGGATTTGAACCGGGAACTCTTTTGATGTTTGGTAACAGTACTCACCACCACACCACCATGTCGCGGGCCCTCCCCAAGTTTTTTTTATTTCCTAAAGGATTTACCAGACCAGCATTGTGAGCTCCCACAGTACTAAGTTTGTATTTCCATTGAGGAGCTGAAGCCAAAACGTGGCTGTTATAGTTGAAAATCTTTCAGTTATAATTCATCATTGATATAATTGCTCAATGGTTTTCTGTTAATAGAGTATTTAATTGATTGATCACTTGCTTCAGCTATCATTTTGATTAACTGCTGCACTACTGTTCTTCCACTGAAGTTACATTTGATGTGTAATCCTTAGCAACTGCTTTTCTTAGAAACGGATAACTCTGTTCCCTTTATTCAAGCTTTTGTGATTGCTATGACTTGGATCACTGACTTTTGATGTGAAGTGAGCCTAGAACAAACTCCAAATACACGCTGTAGATAGATAGATAGATAGATAGATAGATAGATAGATAGATAGATAG